TAAAGGATCACTCATGCCTCATCAGTCAAATGTGATGGCAGAGGGTCCATTGCATTGATGAATATAAAACTTATCAACAAAACCATACAGTACGATTAGCTTATAAGGAAAGATAATTTTTAATAGCTAGCATGTATTTAAGCAGCATTCTGCTGCTTAAAATCTACGATTTTATGGATGGGTGTAAACTGACTAGTCAGAGAACTAAGAGAAAAGTAGGTAAGTGTGACGATTAAGAGGAATAGGATGTAAGCTTTGATTTATTTCTTTGTTGGGTTTTCTTTGGTAGCTGTTCACGTTTAATAAGCTGAAATTAAGCTACACTTCTCAAAATATCACTATTTTATATACTTCTAAGCATAAAAAAAAACATTTAACATCTGTTTTACTAATCCTATGTATAAGAATTAAACTGATCGCTTATTTTCATAAACACTCAAGTAAGCTTTCCTTGATGTTACTGGAAATCAGGCATTTAATGGTGCTTTAAGCAGGTATCTGATTGTAAATCTTTATGTGGGATTGAGCACGCCGTCAGCAAGTTTGCCAATGACACCAAGCTGTGTGGTTCGGTTGGTAAGCTGGAGGGAAAGAATGCCATCCAGAGGGACCTTGACACGCTTGTGAGGTGGGCTGATGCCAGCCTTATGAAGCTGACCCATGACAAGTACAGGGTCCTACACCTGGGTCAGAGCAATCCCAGGCACAGCTACAGGAGACTCTTTGGGCAGAGAAGAGATGCAGAGCAGCCCTGCAGAGAAGGACTTGGGGATGTTGCTTGGACAAAATGAACATGAGCCGGCTTCAGTGTGTGCTCGCAGCCCAGAAAGCCAACCGTATTCTGGGCTGCATCAAGAGGAGTGTGACCAGCAGGTTGAAGGAGCTGATCCTGCCCCTCCACTCCGCTCTTGTGAGACCTCACTTGGAGTACTGTGTGCAGTTCTGGTGTCCTCAACAGGCCATGGAACTGTTGGAACAAGTCCAGAGGAGGGCCATGAGGATGATCAGGGGACTGAAGTACATCCCGTATGAGGACAGGCTGAGAAAGCTGGAGCTGTTCATCCTGGAGAAGGCTGCGTGGAGACCTCCTAGCAGCCTTCCAGTATCTGAAGTGGGCCTATAGGGATGCTGGGGAGGGACCCTTCATTAGGGACTGTAGTGATAGTACAAGGGGCAACAGGTTCAAACTTAAACAGGGATAAATTGGATATAAGGAAGAAGTTCTTTCCTGTTAGGGGGGTGAGGCACTGGAGTGGGTTGCCCAGGAAGCTGTGAATGCTCCATCCCTGGTGGAGTTCAAGGCTGGGCTGGACAGAGCCTTGGGTAGCATGGTTTAGTGTGAGGTGTCCCTGCCCATGGCAGGGGGGCTGGAACTAGATGATCTTAAGGTCCTTTCCAGCCCTAGCTATTCTATGATTCTATGTTTCACTTCAGACATACACAATCTAAATTACAGCTTTGCTGCAGTCATTTTTTTCTGTTACCATTTCTAATATGAGTAAATAAAATACCTCGCAAAATAATTGTAGACACTTCAGGATAAGCTTGTTTTCTGAGGCACAAATATACGTACTATTGCAGTCATGTTAATAAGTTACTTGATCTATGGTGATTTAATTTAGTTTTTGTGCAGTAAAACTTAAAGAAAAGTCTGGTTTTATAATAAGTATTCATAACTAACTGGTGAGAGATTTACTGTCTTTTTGTTCTGACTTAATACAGTAAAAAGGTGGCCTATGCTTGTGGATCCCAAGAAGTAGGATAATTTGTATAATTTCTGTGTAGAGTAATTAGTGTGCAAGTTTAATGCCGTGTGAACTACACTGATAAAGCTTCCTTCTTTATTTCTTTCAGGCTGTTTTCTAAATACCAGTACTTTGATTCAGGAGGAATGTTTATTTCACTTGTATTTTCAGCACCACTGCTGGTGAATACTATTATAATTGTGGTATGTATGTGTTTATTTATATGGATGCTTTCATGAAATTGATAAGTAAATGTATGTGGAATAGTTAAATTTAATAGTTTACTTACTTTTCAGGTCAGCTGGGTTTACAAAACTTTGAATGTAATTACTGAACTGAAGACCCTACAACAGAGAATGAAAACAGGAAAAGAGAAAAAGAATTGAAAGCACCTAACACTATTTTAATTGTAATACTGCTGGTCTAGATAATCAGTCCTTCTGTATGGTTATCCAGAAACAGCAATATTTTTGTGTCTGATGACAAGAAGACTTTGCAGCCTGTGACAGTGGACAATGAGGTGAAATCAGGCATCTACTGCACATACTTGAAATAGCTGTGAAATGGAGAAACCCAATTTTAGGAGGTCTTTCTGCCCTTCTATGTAAGATAGTTTTCCACCATGACCAAGGCTATTAGCATTGTTGAGACACAGTCTTCCAGTCTGTTTCTATTTGCCTATGTATTCTTAAACTGTCTTAACTGTGTGCTTATCAAAGTATCCAGTCTTTTGCTGCTTAAGCCAATTGGAGCAGTGTTGTGAATTCCAGTAAATGAGGGATTGTTCAGAATACCTCAGGAATCCATGCTTCTGTGAAGCATTTAACTTCTTTATAAATCAAGTTTCATACCATATATTGTGTGCCAGTAGCATTTTATAAATAAAATTATCTGCTGTAACTTAAATGGTCTTGATTTGTATTAATTTTTAATCAGATTTATTTTTTTCTCAAAAATTCTCAGTTTAGTAAAATCTTCTACTTAATTTGTGTAATTCAAAACAATATCTGCATTCTTTTCAGTTTAAATGTTGTTATTTTAATGCCGTTTTCTTAAAACTGGCTGAACTTTGGATAGTTTTTGCTTATTTGTAGAACAGAAAGTAAGGGGTAAAACTATAATGTTCTGTGCAATTTTGTCCCTTTTTAAATGTTTTTTTGTAAAATAGTTGAAAACAAAATATTAACTGGTAAAAACAAGGAATTGTTTTGCTCAGATTAATCTGTTTTTACTGGGTTAAGGAAATTTGAGGTGGGAGAGGGGAAGGGTGAATACAGTAGAAGATTTTCCATATGTGTTTAGTAAACTTTGTGTCTTGAAGGAGTTAAACCTTTCTGTGAAGACCTAAACTTCTGTCTAAAATAGATATCGTTTAAGACATAGGAAAGATGATCTACAAAACTGAACTTACATTAATGTGAAGAACAGTTGGGAACAAAAATGAAGAACACAAGTAAATGTTAAACTAAGTAAGTATTTATGAAATTAATTTTAAATACTTAAATATTCTTAACAACAGTGGAAATATGGATCCAAGAAAGATAATTAGGTGCCTATGCATACACAGTTTGCAAGTCTAGATAGGAAGAGAGTGATACTCTTTCTGGAGTGCTTCACAGCACTGTGTAAGGGCAGTGCAGTGTTAATCTGGGATCCTTTTTTTACCTTTCCTGTGGATTAAAGTAGCACAGCTCGCCTCACTCATTGCTCTATCAAGAATTACAGACAGGTAGGCCACTTTGTAACAGCAGAATAGAGACATGCAGGTTTGCTATGCTGTACCATAATAATCCATTCTGTTAATGACTCTTGATGGAATGTTTGGTAGTGTCAGCTATCACTTCATAATGAAAACATCTCTAATGGCCTGGTAGCATGTCCCTTTAAGGGTACATGTTCTGCAACACTATAAGGTACAATTGTTTTAGTGTCACACAAAAAACATCTGTTATCAATAGCCTTTGGCTTCACGATGTGTGAATTTGATTCACAGTAAATGAGGTAGTTCAGAGCAGCTAAACAGCAAGTTTTTTGCAATGGAAAACAATGTGCCTTATTTAGTATACGTTGGGAGACTTGCAAGGGAAACTTCCGCAAATCTTTCAGTATTTGGGAGAAAATGAAAATTCGCTCTTAGCATCATGGAACCAACCAGGTTGGAAAAGACCTTCAAGATCATCAGGTCCAGCCGTTCCCCAGCACTGCCAAGGCCACTGCCAAGCCATGTCACTGAGGGCATCGTACATGGTTTGGGAACACTTCCAAGGGACAGTAACTCCACCACTGCCCTGGGCAGCCTTTGGAACTGGGCATTTTAAGTGTCTGGCCATCCTTTGGGGGAAGGAATTGTTCCTCATATCCGGCCTAAATCTCTCTTGGTGCTGCTTGAGGCCATTTCCTCTTGTCCTATCCCTTGTTCCCTGGGACAGGAGACCAGTCGCATCCTGGCTTCATCCTCCTTTCTCGTAGTTTGCAGGTCGCCCTTGACCCCTCTGCAGACTAAACCCCCCAGTTCCTTCAGCCATTCCTTGTGAGACTTGTGCTCCAGACCCTTTGTCTGCTCTGTTGCTGCTCAATTTCAGCAGTTGGAATCAATGAGTTATAGTTGGAACCAGTTGTTAGAGACAGGAGAAAACCAGCATTGGACATTGGTAGGGTGAAAGGACATGATCAATCTAATCCAGTCACTGCTCAGGTTAATCAGCAGGTGGGCAGCCTGACTCTGCTGCGGGAGATCCAGCTCATGAATGAGAACGAGGAATGGGAGCTCCTGCTCCATTGGTTACGTGTTCATAGCTACGGAATCCTGGAATGGCATGGGTTGGAAGGGGCCCCAAAGCTCATCCAGCTCAAACACCCCCCACCAGACTAGGCTGCCCCAGCCCCACCCAACCTGGCTCCAAACACTGCCAGGGATAGGGCAGCCCTCCTGGGCAACCTGCGCCAGTGTCCCAGCACCTTCACAGAGGAGAACCTCCTCCAGAGATCTCATCTCATCCCCCCTCTCTGTCAGGTTAAAGCTGTTCCCCTTGCTCACAGGCCCTTATTCTCCCCACAAGAAGTGAAGGGAGATCCCAGGATTTAAGGCAGCTGGAGTGCTCAACTGCCGGCTCAGCCAGCAGAACTCACACACGGAGTCCAAAGCAGTGGCTGGCAAAATCAATTGAGGTGATCTTGGTAATTTTTAAAACACCAGAAGAACGTGATTGCCACCACCTTGTTCAACATTCGTTGTGTCCACGGGTATCGCCGGCATCAAGACAGAAACCACCAGAGGAGCTGCTGTTGCCTCCTCCACTGCTAGCTTGTGTTCCATGGGGCAGTTGTCATCTCCAGTTGCCCCCTGTGATGGGTTCTGTGTGGTTCCATGGCCTCACACACCCTGCTCTCACTCCGCTGCCACCACCTCATGAGATACTGCAATTAGAACTGTCCTTAGCAGAACATAGATCAAATAACAGAAATTACTTTCTCTGTATTGCCCAATTTTGTGTAACTCTTGCTTGGCACAAGATTTGTTAAAGGAATTCTTACTACTTTTGGGGATCCCAAGTGAAATAAAAAAAAAATCTTGCTTCAATTGTCTTTCCTATTCCTCTCAAGTGTAGTTGACCTTTCATGCAGTATTTAATTTTATGTTGCATTACCGGACTAGCTTTGCCATTTAATGTAAGATCCAATGGCATTACAGCACTTTAACAAAGTTGAAGAATGAAGAACCCTAGAATGTGAGTGGCAGGCGCTTTGTTATTAATTAGCAAGTAAAGATGTATTTGAGCTTTATATTATAGGTTGAGTTTTGATACCACTGACATAATGCAATAGCTAGGAGGCAGATATTTCTTAGTTTTGAAAGTGTCATCATGATGGGCGCTTGTCTTAAAGTATTTCTGAGTGAAAGTATAAAACGGCTTCAAATTCCAGAATTTTATCAATATTTCTTTGAAGGATGAACACATCAAAATGTACACTTCAAAACTGTAATCTTGGTGGTTTTAAACCTTCCCTGACTACTGAAACTATAATCAGATGTAAGCTTGTGCAAATCTGTCTCGCATAACACAAATTGTTGGCCATATATGTTTGTCAGAAAAATATTTTTGTTTTCTATATTTCAAAAGACTCAGACTTTTATCTGAGTTGTCCTCTAGCTAACCCTGCCTAAGAAACACCATGTCTAAGAGCTAAGTTTAAAAACAGAAATTAATAATAAGGTTGGCTTTGACCATAAGAGAAACCCTCAGCATTAGTGAAGTGGACCTTTTCTTCATTATGTATCTGGATTTATGTAGTGATAGTGCAGTAATACAATGTAAGGGCCTACTTGCTGACAAAGCAAAATAATTAGGTCATGAATTTAAGACACTGTTTTGCCTGCTCAAAATTTTATATTTATAAGTGAATGTGAGCCAGATGTTTGCAGCTGGTGGAATACCTTTGCTTTTAATTGGGAGACCTACATTTAGATTACTTCTGAAAGAGCCTGTTTTATTTCCATTTGGAACATACATACAGAAAAGCTGGTAGCTGCTCAGTCAGATCCTGTGTAGAGTAAGATTTGGTTTGTTATCAGTTCTGTGTACCTTGCAAGCTGTGACTGAAATCTTCAGCCTTATTTAACATGTCTTTCCACCACAGCACATGGTGTCACCAGTGTAGAAGAACATCAAAAGGGAGAAAGCAATATTAATGTGGCAATTTCACCATAGTAGAAAGTAGTTTTGTTGCATATAAATCTGTGAAAAGATAGATTAGCAATTTAGTTGGCAAACTTTCTGGAGTTTGAGGTTGGCCTGGTTCCCTATGGAAAAGCAGTAACAGAAATGAGTTTCCAGGAACAAAAACCTAGAATTCTCTTTTTTTTCCACATCCACTGAAATGCCATTATCCTTACATTGGAGTGTATTTTCACCTCTTTTGGTCCAATGGATCTCGTGATCCTAGGCCAAGTGGAACAGATCCAGTGAGAGAATTTGAATGTCTGTTCCTCAGGATTATTTGCTAGCTTAGTAGACATGTCTTTTGGCCCCATGTCCCAGAAAAAGATACCTATCTCACAAAGGCACAGAAGGACAGTAAATTGAGGTCTCCTGCATCCTTGCACGTATTCTGAATAAAGATCTTTGAAGGATAGTCTTGCTACTTTTCATCAGCTGGGTCTTAAAAGAAAGGATTTACTCCAGAAAAGCTATGTTAGATGGCGATCTGCTGTGTCTGTGAATCCTGAATGGAGGAAGAGTCTAGGGAGAATTGATTTATAGATTTCAAGAATCTGTGTATATATCAAGTATGTTTCTCTGTTTTCAAAGCTAAACAGAGATTTTTTTCTATTTAAATATTTTAAAATAAGGTCGAAATATTTTAAAGTGTTTCAGCAAAATACAAGTATTGGTCCTTCTCTGTGCCTCAGAGATCATTACAGTTAACCAAATTTGCCACTAGATGTCACTGTCTCATACGCAGAAGCTTGCTCAAAGCTTTCCTTTGCAGAGCTTTTCACCATAGCTATTTCCTGCGCTCCAAGATTCATCTCCAGTGACTTTCAAACGTTTATCGACCCTCTTCCTTTTTACATTAAAAGACACTTCTTGTAGCAGTAATGATGCACATACATGCTTCCAGAGTAAGGACTCTGGGGGTATTTTGTGCTTTAAAGCTTCTTAATGCAGCAAGGAAATAAATGCCCCATTCACTCATACCTACATTTTGTATGGAGGAGCCTGTCTTCAATCAATTAAAAAGGAGTATAACAACGAAAAACAGAAAAATTACATTACAATGTGAACAATATGCAGGAAAGGTTACTGAAGCCTTCTGGTTCATGAGCTGGCAAATCTAACGCATGTCTATTTCTTTGTGATTTACCCTTGCATAATGCATCATTACTGGGACCTTCCTTAGTATGTTCCATAGCTAGCAGTCACTTACAGTCACGATTGAGATTATTAGAAGTAACTTCAGGCTTTCTTCAAATAGTACTTTGCAGCATTCAGTGGCTTTATGACTTCATTTGAGAAGGAGATGCAGAGTTCTTGACTTGATGTTCCTCTTTGTGTACCTGGTTTTGAGCCCTGTTTTATTTATCCTTGAAATTCATCTGAGTTCTGTTTCCACACATTACCTGTTTAAGAATATAGACTTTCAGTTTGAATGGATATTGATCCCCTTCCTGTGATTTGCATGCATGCACATACACATTACAGCTCTGGAAAGATTAGGAAATTATAGCACAGCATACTCACGAAATGCCAGCCTCATATCTCAAAACCAATGTGCTTTATGGAACTCTGTTTTGTAATCTGTCTTCTGACCAGGTCTTCTGAATTGTGGCCATAATTATAAAACTGTTTTGGTGCAATAGTAGAACAGTGTTGTACTGAATAGGAAATACCTCAGAGAATTTAAAAGGAAGGCCTCTACATTTCCTATATTTGTGTTTATTGTTTCATATAAACAGGAAGTGTAGGAGCCTTTCTCATATGGTTTCACAGGCATAATGAAGCCAGGAAAAGAGCTGGAACTAGTAATACATTATACTGCTACAAGCACTGACTTTAAGTGGTCCCACTGAAATCATGGCCCTGTTTTCTTTGGCACTGTCCAGAGTTAGAACCAGTTGAAACCAATGACAGGATCAAATGTGTTGCCTCTGTCATTTGAAAATGTAACTATTAGCAAAGCATTCAGCATAAGTGATTGAAACAAGGCACATTTCTTAAAATGAACAAGTTCCAAGTTTCATTTATAACACACTTGTTAATCCAGCCCTGAATCAAAGAAATACAATCTTGTATATCTTTCCTCCCTTCTGATCCAGCAAAAACCCTAGAAAAGGGGTTTGCACAGTGACCCAACTGGAAGCAGTATGAAGTTCAGGTGGACAAAGAAGTAGCTAGGCTGGGACCCTTCACTAAAATCATATTAGCTCTCACTCCTAAGACTGTGTAATAAATAAACCTAGGGAGTTTCAACTTGTGGGGCAGGATGTGAAGTTTTTCAATAGAATTAGGACTGATGCGCCTTGTTCTTAAGGAACACTGAGCTTGGAATGGTATTAATATGGTAGAAACAAGCTTTTAGAAATTCTTCAAGCCATTTAAGTAATCATGCTGTAAAGTTTGGATAAATAAATTAGCAAAATGTGCTATTCCTTTGTAGCCTGCAGTAATGATTAACCCAACAGTTCATTAGTAAATATCTTGAAATAATATATAATAGGATCTACAAGATGTGGATCATTTTAGGTCCATAACTGTAGGAGTCATGCCTCTGATACCACCCACTTCACCCTAATTTAGTGATTAGCTAGAGTAATTGGCTACAGGGAGCCAATTATAGCCACAAATAATGATTTGTATGACTCGTACACAAGCCAAAAAAATCACAAAAATAAGGGAGCTGACATATGAAACAAATAATACGGAACACTGATCAGACCAATACCAGGCATAGCTACAGGCTGGGCAGAGAAGAGATTCATAGAATCATAGAATAGTTAGGGTTGGAAAGGACCTTAAGATCATCTAGTTCCAAGCCCCCTGCCATGGGCACGCACACCTCCCACTAAACCATGTCACCCAAGGCTCTGTCCAACCCAGCCTTGAACTCCACCAGGGACAGAGCAATCACAAATGCGCTGGCAAAATTCAGCGCAGCCCTGCAGAGAAGAACTTGGGGGTGTTGGTCGATGAGAAAATGATCATGAGCCGGCTACAGTGTGCGCTCGCAGCCCAGAAAGCCAACCGTATCCTGGGCTGCATCAAAAGGAGCGTGACCAGCAGGTTGAAGGAGCTGATCCTGCCCCTTTACTCTGCTCTAATGAGACCTCACCTGGAGTATTGTGTGCAGTTCTGGTGTCCTCAACATAAAAAGGACATGGAACTGTTGGAAGAAGTCCAGAGGAGGGCCACGAGGATGATCAGGGGACTGGAGCACCTCCCATATGAGGACAGGCTGAGAAAGTTGGGGCTGTTCATCCTGCAGAAGAGAAGGCTGCATGGAGACCTTCTAGCAGCCTTCCAGTATCTGAAGGGGGCCTATAGGGATGCTGGTGAGGGACTCTTCATTAGGGACTGTAGTGATAGGACAAGGGGCAACAAGTTCAAACTTAAACAGGGATAGATTGGATAAGAAGTTCTTTTCTGTTAGGGTGGTGATGCACTGGAATGGGTTGCCCAAGGAAGTTGTGAATGCTCCATCCCTGGTGGTGTTCAAGGCTGGGTTGGACAGAGGCTTGGGTGACACAGTTTAGTGTGATGTGTCAGTGCCCATGGCAGGGGGATTGGAACTAGATGATCTTAAGGTCCGTTCAAACCCTAACTATACTATTATTCTATGATTTTAAGATCACAGCCCTTCAAGGCAAAGTGTTTTCTAGCAGAATCCAGGTAACTGTATGCTTTTTGGTTGTTTAAATACACAACAGTGTAGTAAAATGGGATGAGAATTAGATTTAACAGCTTTACTGAAGGTGTTGGAAGTGAGACCTTTTGTAAGTAATAATTCCCTTTTTTCACAAAGTCAACACAAATAAACCAGTCCAATTTTGTCTGTTTTCGTGTTTCGATGGCCCTAAATTAGACTAATCATTCTACACTAATGACCAAAAAGCAGGACACAACATCCCTCTGATTAAGAAAAGTTAATTTATAAAAACAGCTCACAAGACCAATTTCTTTCTAGCAAATCAGTTTATTGATTTTTACCACCAAAAAATTCTAATTAATTAGTAAATAATGTGTGTTATCCAAGTTTTCTTTTTTTCCCATGTTAGATGAAAAACAAATATAACATGTGAAATTAACTGGGTGTACTTAAGCATAAGCTAACAATGACAATTGTAATGGTATATGATTTCTATGTGATTCTCTTTGAAATAGAAGTTAAAATGTTCCAAAATATTATTAAATAGAGCTTCTTCAGAAACTGATTTGTCAGTAATTGTTTCATAAACTGTTTCATTTGAAAATGTACAGAACACATAGCTTATAGGTAAGCTATAGTTCTCTATATCATTAGCTTGTATAAAGTTTGGCAAGCTCTATATTTGAATGAAATATACCGGAGAAACTGATTTACACATCTATGTCAGAAAAGAGAAAGCAGGCTCTTCTACAAGATGTGAAGAAACTCGTGGAATTTATGACTTTCAAGACTTTTGTGTTAAGAGAAATTATCCAAAACCAGGTTGCTCAAAGATGTGGTAAATGCTTCGCCCCTGGCGGTATTCAAGTTCAAGCTGGACAGAGCCTTGGGTGACATGGTCTAGTGGGAGGTGTCTTTGCCCACGGCAGGCTGTTGGAACTAGATGATCTTAAGGTCCTTTCCAACCCTAACTATTCTATGATTCTATAAGAATGAAATCACAATTTTGATACTTCAGGTAGAGTGAACTACATTGGAGTCTTTCAGACTCTTTTGTAGTATGAACTGCAAGTCATACCAATAAATTTGTAAAAGTAAATAGTAAAATTAATATACTCCAAGACAACTTGTCATAGTTCTATCATGATCAAGAAATATAAATGCCACGTAAGCTAAAACTACACAAAAAAATGGATATAATTATCATCACATTTTTTTAACTGACTGCTTATTTAATTCTTGTGCATGTTAATACATGTCAATATTGACAAATTCCAGACCGCAATAGATAAAAATGTCACCAAAACTTTTAGTTGAAAGATGAAGGCCTTGTTCTTCGAAATGAAAACTAACTTCATTTAAAAATAAATTATAGCTGAGGATTCATGCAAAATGTTGAATAAAAATACTAAAAGTACACTGTTGCTTTAAACTGAATACCGTTGCATTTCTTTTTTCTTTGTTTGGTTTACCCAGCAAATTACAGGTTAAGGTACTACCAGTCATAATTTTATCAATACTAAAGTCTTCTGGTTTTGTCGTATGTATGCTTATTAGGTAGATACATATTAATTCAATTCTGATTGGCAACAGCCATTATCACTGAATATCATTAATTTAGGTACTTATGATAGAAAATAGCTTTATAGTGGCTCATCTTATTTAAATCTAACACAGTTAAGTGTGATACATTATAGCTGTATAAACTCATAAAAAAATAAAGTGGAGAATATGCATAATTGTTTAAATTAAATGCGTAGCTGTCAGTATTCTATCTTGGCTAGAAAGCAATCAGTTTGCTTTGTAACCCTTAGAGGGCTCCATTGCTACGTATTACTAGAAACTATGCTAATTTGGAATCTTAACATATTCTGACATCTACTGTAGTTTAATTTAGGTCTTATATTAACTCTGTTTACATGGGTTTAACTGTGTGCAGAGACTTCCAAGCTGGTTAAAAGGTCTGATGACGTAGATTTAGGATTGTGAGAGGATGTAGAATGTCTACAAAATTGTTATGTTTAGAATTGCCAGAATTAGTATCGTAAATGCAACAGGATTCTCAGTTCCCAAATTTCAAATGAACGGGGACTGGTCCAGAGGCAAAATGATTAGATCATGACTTAAAGATTTCTCATTATTTTCCAAATGCTTCACTGTCCATCTGGAGTGTCGGTGTGTAAATTACAGCATTACAGTGCAGCTTTTTCTCTTTAAGAAGCTGATATACTTAAAAAGATTGGGCAGGGTGTTGCCTCCAAACAACGAATCTCTTACTGTGGAAGAACCATAGGAGTTCTCCTTCCTCTTAAGGGGTGCAGGTGTGACTCAGTTCCTTTCTAGAGGCACAAAAACATCTAAGAGTAACAGTAGCTATAGCAAAAGGCTAGCATCACAAGTGTTTTGTATGAAAAAAAAGAGCATGAAGGTGGTAACAGTGAACTCACATCCACATATCAACTGTCTGTGTCTAGAAGAAGATGCTATTTTAAAGGCCAAAGTAAGGGCTACCATGGTAATTGAGACATGAGAGACCTTGAAGGACAGTTGTAACTTCACAGATGGTTCTGTTAGGATCTTCCATGCACCAAATGAGAGGAGTCTGTAGTGGAACTAGGTGTGCATAGAAACAAATTTGGGTGAAAAAAGGTGTTAAAGTCTTTGTTTTGTTTAAAATTTATTTTTTAAAAAAAAGCTAATATTTTGAAGGAAAAAGTAAGAAGAAACCCAAAGCAAGTCATAAGCAGAGGAAAACCTGCATGAAAAAAGTCACATGATGAGGAGGAAGTTTTGCAGCAAGCGGAGTAAATAGGACAGTGGCTGAACATTTCTTCATCTGGGACAAGGAAACAAGAAGATAGTTACCTGAGGGATGTTAGAACAAAGTTGGACAACAAAGTAAAAAGAAGCATACTTCACAGCCTGCTGGCTTTCTCTGGGAAGAAACTCGGACATTCCCCTGCATAGCGAGCCTTCAAAAGAGCTCCTGTGAGAGGGACCAGAATTACATTGTTGGAAACTCTTCTAAACCCATCAAAACATGAGAATGAAAACTCTGAGAAATAGCAAACACCTAACAAATAGGTCAGTGCTGAGAGTTAAAAGCCATTTAACCTCATGCACTGCCTCCAGCACTCTGCGGAAGATGGAGACTGACCGCAAGATATTACTCCGTGTTCCTTTGCTCTGTGAATTAGGGTGTGCTTTGTGAGTTAAAAATGTTTCCCTCAGCTCAGTTTGTCTAGAGCATGAAGAAATTAGCCATGACCGTTTTAGCTCACAAATCAGGCAACCACAAAATGTCTTTGCCAGGATCAATACTTTGCTGTGTATTTTCAGACTCACCTGATTTGAGCTCTACGAAGTGAAACTGCTGCCAATGAGATCTCTTCCATGACTGCCTTTTCCTTGTAGTGGAAATGCATTGCTTCACCCAGAAGTCCCTGATGGGTTTCTTTACAGCAAACCATGCTATATTTGCTACAGGATTCAGTGTCAGGAGGCTTATTCAGAAGGTTGGTGCCTGACGATGTGTCCTGGATCATGCTGAATGACCTCCCTACTGAAAAAGGGGAAGCCACCCACATTGGTAAAAGTCTTTCATAGCTCTGGTGATAATGGATTCTATAAACAAAATGGTATTGTTATGAATATCAGTCTTTATTCTTGAAGGAGTTCATTTTTCAAAAGAAAAGAGAAAGAAAATAGGTATCCTGGCAAGAAAGGGATATCAAGAATAAGAAATCAAAGTTTTATGCCATCTTAAAATATTTTCCTAACACTAATAAGCCTCCTATCTAAAATAAGAAAATAAGATTTAAAAAATGAAATGAATGACTAGTAAAGGTAGAATAATTTAAGGTGAAAAATATGTATGGGATATATTAAAGTTCCAGCAAATTTAAACAAAATAGGCAGGAAGGAAGGAAAATTATTGCATGAATCATACTCCCTTGGGTAACAGTGTCAGCAGACTTGAAATCATCATGTTGCATAGGACAAACAGATGAGCAAATTGATGAGTAACTGACAAAAACTTTTTTTTTCCTGAACACTGAACTAACTAACAGCTCTTTTTATATAGTAAAGATGTGAGGTAATCGCTACCATCTCTCTGAAAGTCAGAGCTATAAAGAAAGATATAAAAGAGCAGATGGTATGTTATGATGATGCTGTAACAAATGCGAGCAGCCATACTACTGCAAGAATGCTTCTTCATGGACTAATTTAATCACAGTGAATGTGATACCTGTACAGCAGGTATTTCTGGTATGGTTTGGCCGATTATATTTTCCTCAGTGCTTTATACCACATGGCTCCGATTTCTTAACTAGAAGGGTCTCAGTTTAAGCTGATCCTTTGCTGAGCCTAGGTTTGTTCCTCTGTTAGGCAGAGTGAGAGCCAGCACTGATGCAGCCTGGCTAATCAAGAAATACTGACTTGGGCCCTAAGCTGTCAGTATGGACCAGTGTTTCTTTAAACTCTTTGAATTTTATTTATTTATTTATTTTAATCTGTTGTGGTGTGATCTCCCAAATCTTTTTTTTTTTTTCTTTTTGTTTAGTTTTCTCTTGATTAGACGGGGAGGTAATGGATCAGAGGTATTTCATTCTGGAGGTTTTAGAACTGCTCTCCTGCCTTGAGGTGATGCCAACAATTCCGTTCCTCAAACAGGACTTCAGTTAACCCTGGAAAGTATTTGCACAGGGCTAGCAGTAAGTTATTAGAACAATATTACAGTCTAGGGTGAAAAACTAACAATATCCAGAAGTAACTTGGTACTGACAAAGCATTGGTATAAAGCTATCTGCAAGAAACAAATGAGCATTTGTAAACAAAAACCAGCAGAGACCAGTGGGGAGCCAGTGGAGATATTCCCTTTTTTTTAATCTGACTTTTCTGAAAGCATAGTATTTTCCTCTCAAATGAGATTTCCATCTTGAAAATGTTGATAAACTGTGCACTAGAGCAAGATATGAGGACAGCTCACCTGCTTTACTCTACAAACTTTCCAATTCCTTATGTCAATACTTGGAAAAGGCTGTAATCCTGACTCTTAAAGAATATGACTACAGGAGTAGCATCTGCTTAACACTTAAAAAAATAAGCATTGGATGTTCATTTCTAAGACTGCAGTTTCAAAGGTATGTCATTTGTAACTATACTTTTTATATAGCTTGTGGAGTGCCTGAAATCCCTCACCTTCACTAAAATGTATTGTAAACTGTTTATTAAAATTTATTAAAAGCACAGAACACTGAAATAATGCTAAGTAACATCACAAAATAAATGTATGGACGTAACTTTCTATTTTCTATTAAAAAGGGTAATAGACAAACACGAAAAAAGACAAATGCAGCCTTTCTTTTTATAAGGCAAAAGGCAGAAGGGTAGCATAATGCTTCTAGAGAAGCAGAAATTGCAAGAGAGAAATTATAATCTCTCACGTTTAAATCTTCCTACTTTCATTTCTGAAACATCAGTTCTTAACTTAATGTTCTTGAATAAAACAGCTGCAAAGGTTCTAAATTTTTAAGTACATCTACATGATCCAGTGCAACAATCACAGCTCACATAGACATCCTCAATGGATTTAAACCAGCTACTTGTTTGCTGATAGTGGGGCATCCACATGAGCATATCAAATTAACACGAAGTGTCTGGCAAGCACTCATCTCTGGGCTGTCACAGAACAATTACAGCAGAAGCATTTATTCAATGCCCACTAGCTTTAACTTGTCAGTGGCTACTTTCTCCACTGTCATGGTTTAAACCACACTTAAATGATTTTTTAATTTGATACTAGAAGACAAAAGGTCCCTTCAGATCAAAACAGTTCAGGCCTGTCCAAAATTTTAGTCATCAATATAGTCATATATTTTTTTGTTTTCAAATACACAACCAACTCAAACCCTTAAGGACACCTACAGTTTTAGTGTAAAGAAGTTCTGTTTACTCTGCCAAAAACTGAGAAATAAAGTATGTGCCATGAATTTTACCAGATGCTGCATTTAGGATGTCCAGATGTACTCAGTGCTATTTTCTTTCTCCTAGCAGACATTCCATCACACTTTAATCCCTGAGGTAAACTTATATAAAAAACTATCATATTTTAGATTCCTATTTTGACTTCAGTTTGAAAAGTTCGTTATAATTTATCCCAGTGTGACAAAGAATAGGAAAGCTTATCAGGGATTCCAACAAGAATTCCCTCTCTGACCTTACCTCAAGACAGAAGAACCATCCAGATCAATCAAAACAAAGATTCATGAATTTGATGCCTGACAGAATGCTTTAGAGTAAAAGGTATCGTTGTGCCATTCCTCGCCGTCTGCTTATCACTGTTTGTAATTTAGGAAAGTGTTTGGCTTTCCTAAAGAGTAGGTTTAGCCTTTCTCTAGGTGTTCTCACAGCAGGGAACTCCACCTTCATCCAGTGGCTGACAGTTTTGGTTGGGCCTGCAGGCAGTGAGCTAAGTGAAGCTGCAGGAGATGACCTTCTCACTGAAGCAAAGGAAATAATCTAGCAAACTCACATATTACTCTCCAGTCTTGATTTTGAGATCACCTCAGGGTTTTATGCCCTGCCATCCTACTTTTCAGGACTGATTACCTTTTCCTCTTACTAGAATTTATGCCTACCTACATTTACAAATAAATAAAAAACTTCTTACACACTGTGGAGTGGACACCACTTGGGTTTATTGTCATTATTTGACATTAGAATACCTCTCGTCTTTTTGTTGTGTAGATTATGTTTCCTAATTTTTCAAGCTAAGCTGAAACTGCTGATAATGATCAGAGAGAAACAGAGGGAACCTCCTGGATAGCTCTCAGCTCAAAGAATGGGACCCTCATTAAGAAAGGAATATAACTATATTCACAGTCCTGACCTGGATGAGACACAATCTTGACCCAGTGCAGAGCACTTCCAGCAGCCTCCTTGATCTTGAACAGCCTGTTCTTACCATCTCATGTGAAGGACCACTGTAGTCCAAGAGAGCTCAATTAGTAGACAATGCAAAAACCTGATTCTCACCTGATGTGACAAGGTGTGTTTTGCAGTCATGCCTCTTGGTTCACTCAAACCTTTGTGAATGGTTTAGCCACCAAAGAATGAGGCCAAATAAGGCCGTATATTATTTTGTCTTGACTGTAAATAAAGGATATATGTTTTGGAAATGCTTCTAGGAACACATGAATAAATCTCAAGTTATTCTTTAAATATCATACTGGAAGTAGGTAGACTTTTTTAATTGGATTGCTAAAGAAATGGAAAGAGAAACCACTGCAAAATATACTTAAGAATTAGTAGCATTAGTTTAAATGTTCATAGTATTTGAGCTAATAAATATTCTTTGAAACAAGCTGTCAAAAGATACAGTAGTAACAATTCAGAGTTCAAGCTCTGTTACTTTTTTAAAAATGGCTGTACAACTTTTAAGCAAAAATACAAAAAATCTTATCTATATATGCAGAATTTTGCTAAATAACCTTTCTTGCCTGATTATAAGTATTCAGGTACATGGGAATTTGTAAGGTGATGACTGTCAATACGTACAGTAAAACTTTTAACCACATGCATATGGTAAGGAAAGACTGTTGCTAATCTTTTGTAACAGCTTAAATGATCATTATTCTTGCTTTTATTGACAGCTTTTTCCTGCTTAACTGTTGAAAACATTTTACTATTATTTGGTGGCTTTTCTCTAGGTTTACATAATACTATTTTCTTGCAAGAGGGAAAACTTACATTAACCTTCATATATAGTAGTTGACATTTATGATGCAAGTGGGATTGATTACTTTAACATACGAGAAAACTGCAGCCTTAAAATATACAGAATATGAGACAGTATCGTCATGTCCCAATACATTATTTACTTTGTACTATTAAATGCTTCACTGCTGGTTAGTTTCAATATTCTTGATATCTGAATTTTTACTATGAGAACATAAATCAAGTCTTAATTCACAGGTGTTTCTGAAAGTCCACCAATGCTGCATGTATTGCTGTGTTATTGTTTCACCTATGTCAGTCCCACTGTCAAATTTTACCTGAAACTTGGGCAAAGACATTGACAGTAAAGGTTTTATGAAGCACTGATAATTTTTTTAGATTTGGAATTTTGGTCTGAATAAATATATAGCAGTTTTGATAAATTCTGAGCTGCTTTTCCAGACCAAAATAATACCTGAAATTACCCAGATTTTTTTTGGGGGGGGGCAGGGAGGGGAAAGAGAACAAACCAAAAAAACCAAAACTAGTTCAGGACTTTGTGTAATATTTTGCCTCTTAGAATTCCGCAGACTTTGATGTTATTTCTAAATGCTTGAAAGAACAAAGCTCTACAGTATACATCAACATCAAAAATGCCTTTTAAATTGTAAAATTAACATGAGATTCTATTTCTTTTCTTTTTTTAACATGAGAAACTTTGCTGGCATTACCTTAAAAGTTCTCATTTCCTTTAATTATAAAAACTATGGCAATTCAACTCATAACTTTTAGGTCAAAGCTATGCCTAAAATTCTCTTACAGTTTGAGGGCAAAACCTGACACAGACTTCAGCTGTGTTTCTCAGGAGGAACATTCCTTAGGTAGTGAAGTGAGCACCAGCCTCAATGAAGCATGAGATTTCCTCCATCTGTTCTCTTACTATATACGCATTTCCCTTGTCCCTCTGCTCCATCTTCTCCCACCCCCAAATTCTGATAATAAAATTGAGGTAACTTTGATCTTAACAACAGCCTCTGGCAAGAACCAGTTTTGTTTGTTCTTTGAAAATTGAAAGGAATCAGATAAAAGTCATGAGAAAGTAGTAGTAGTCATGCTCAAAATACAAATGTTTTGACTTTAAAAAAAAAATTCAGAGTTAAATATCTTGAAATGAGATGACAGGGAAAGTCACAGCAACACCTTGAAATACAGCACCATCGAAGGCAGGGTAAAAAAGAAAATCTAGGATACTGTTTAGGTGAGTGCAGTATAAAAAGAGATGTCTTCAGGTCCTATCAGATACTGTTCTTGCCCTTTCTGCTGGCTGGGAGAAGTTGCACACTTGCTGGTGGACAGAAAGTGCTGGAAGAATCAAAGTAGAAAAGTAGTGTCAAAATATTTCACTGCTGCAAGCTGTGAAAATGACTGAGGAGCTGCCTGAATAATATTGCAGTACAATTGATTGTGCTTTATTGGACAAAAACTTTATTAAATCCTAATGCTTTTCTCTTGCACGTGATTTTCCTTCACTGACCTTGAAAACATCTCACAAAGAATAGTAAACATTATTACCTCTTATACACAAAGAAAACACACACCAAGCTTGAGGACACACAAGTTCTGTTAAGGAGAGAAAGGTAAAGAAGCTGGTTTTCTTGGTTACGAGAAAGCTGTTGAGAGCAAAGGGTCACTTTCCTTAATCCTGAGAGTAGGAGCTGGCATGCAACATATCTTGGAACAAAGAAACACACCACACTATATAATTAAATGAATTCTAAGTCATTGAAAAAATATGTTACAAAATGTTAACCATGATTGTAAAAAAATTATCCTCATCTGAATTATTTTCCTATGTATCATTGGTAGTAGGTTACTTACAGCATAAATTAAAGCGTGAATGATTAACTATATACATATATCACATTTGACATGTTCACATTTAGTATGTAACTGTTAAAGCTTAATAAACGATTAAAAGATGCAATTTAGATCTTGTCTTCTGTTTATTCTTTAAGAATTCATAAGGATAACAATGTTCAATGGTTTTTAAATTAATTTAATTTTATTTGCACAGTTATTGGAGAACCAATTTGCCATACTTCTTTTCATTGCATGGAGAAATACTGACTACAATGGTGTCAGAAATACCTAATTTCCATTCAGTGTTTCCAATTTCCTTTTCTGCCAGAATCAGCTTTGCGTGTGAAATAAAACCAGACTCCTTGTAAAGAATACTTACCCACGGTTACCACTGTTAGACAGTTTTAACACTGTTTTCCATCTACCATCATTAAACCCTTTACAAAATATTGTTTACTTGTCAGGCAAGCTTTTGGACACAAGGTCTCAAGATTTTCTGGGCAATTCTAAAATTAATCACTTAATAATTAACAATACATCTTAGCTAGCACAACTATCTCTGAACAACTACTATGCAGAACTAATTAAATAATTTCAAAAGTTTCAAATTGTCTATTTTTTTTTCTTTTAATGATCCTTTTAATTTCCTTTCAATGAAAAAGCCATGATCCTGCTGGGTCTCTACGACGTGTATCTTCTTTTTCTATTTTTATATGATCTTCAAAGATCTGTCTCATCTTCTACATATCATTGTCAGTTTTATATAAACGCATCCATTTTGATAACTTCAACATATCACAATCTTTTAGGGACAGATACGGGAAAAGTAACATGAACAGTACTGTATGACATTAGTTGCATGTAACTGATGTATATTTAACCTTTTTATTCCAGGGCATGACTCAAATAAGTCTGTGCCAGTTTTAAGAAACATTTGTCTTTTAAAACCTTTTGTTTTAATTATTCAGGACAATATTTCAATATTACAGGTATGATGTTTCATTTCTATTTTTTAGTGGAAGGTCAACCTGCCTAAAAAGGTGGCAGCTTGGGTAAATGGAGAAAATTGTATTGATCATATGTGTATTGGATTTTCGGAATTTGCAATTGCATGTTACTAAAATTCCTGAAGTTAAAGAGGAAATATGAAGTTAAGCAGTTGCTCAAAAATAGCGAATGAGCCCTGCTTGAATGTAGTGCTGGGTGAACACTAAAATTATGTGTTTGTGAATTGTTTATAAATCAGTATTTCTTATAGAATAAAATGAGTTTATGGTAGATTCCAATTTGAGATTATTAGTATTGATCTATTGTCTAGATTTCTTTTTACTGAAAACACATACTTAAGATATGTGTATACAATGCTTTAGACACTACAGATTCTTACATTTATGTTTAAGTTTCCTGGTTTTTGTTGTTTGAAAGAAGAATTTAGATTCATTTAATTTACTTGACTTGTTACATCTCTTCTGACTTAAGTACAGAAATAGATCCCAGCAGTTCAAGCAAACAAAAAAAAAAAAAAAAAAAGAAGGAACAGCATCCCACTTAATAGATCTCTTTTTCAGTGCTCAGATTCTTTTCCCAGTGACTTAATGAGTCTGCCCAACACTTTTAATCCTTCTTTGAGTCACTGATCTGGCCTGGCTAGCCTGCAAGATCACACAAAAGAGATACCCAGATAACAGCTATTTAATTACCAGCACAGGTGAAAAAATAAGAAAACATTTAAAATATAAATGATGGAAAACAAAAATGAGCTTTAACCTTCTATTTTCCTCTAATAAAGTTTAATTTTCACAACTTATTGTAATACCTCTTTCTAATTATGACACATCCTTTGTTTTCAGTTGCAGAAGCCTATTTGGTAATGTTTCCAGTCTGTATAATTTGACCTGTTAGCTCCTGGTAGTACAAAATAAAAAGTTACGGTTTACTTGCTATTTCCCTGTCAGACTTTGTCTGCCCTTCTAAAACTCATACTCTTGACCTTTACAGAAGATATTACTCTACTATTCTTGCACTGAGTACACTATTACTTCTTGTATACAGTGGCCTTACTGGGAGGAATACAGGGGTGACAGAATCTGAAATGG